GTAAATTGAAAAACACCAATATAATAAAATAAATTAGTTATAACTTGAGAATAATAATGAAAATAAATTAATTGGAATTTCTTTTAAATAAATAAAAATGAAAACCGAAATTATGAAAGTTCTAATTCGAATAATAAATTTATTATTTTGAAAGTTTAATAAAATTGACAATTATAATGTTCAAATATTAACAATAGTAAGTGAAATATTTAAACATTGAATAATTTGATAAAGAATGACCGAGGTATAGAAATTTTATGTTTGTGCGTGATATTTAGATACTATGCTAAGAAGCTGACCTTTAAGAAATATAAGACAAAGCAAATTATCTGATACAATGTGAATACTCATATTTCTTAATTGTAGTAATAATGTTGTTTCTTCTAAACAGAGAATATGAAATATCATTGATACTTAAATTGATTGTAATTGCACATTTTTTCATGATATATCTGTTTTATATTTATTGATCATATTGAAATGAATGTTATAGATGTTTTAATTTGGTTACACTTTTTACATATATTGATTCATATAGGAATATATTATATGATAGAATGAGAATAAGATGATTTATGGAATGTTCGCATGTGCATGTTCATCGATAGAGCTCATCATCTTATGGTACTAGTTGGAATTGCTAATATACCTACGCGTGTTGATATATTTTTATCACTTTAGGCAATAGTGAAATTAAGACCACGTCCCGCCATGGTGATGAGGGTTGTATTGATCATGGTTGAGTAGGTGTCTCTCTAACTCAAATGATGGTAAACCTATTCTACATTACGTTGTGTCGACAAGGTATGTATTGGCTAGGATTATGTTAGGTTATGTTTAAACATTGTTTTTGTTCTGGATGCTTATGTAAGAGGATATTGATAAGATAAGATATTGTACCATACAATAAAACAATTTACAAGTCATTAAATGATTATTTTTTATTATTTGAATTGTCACATAATTTTGTGTTGTTTTATTGTGTTCGACTAGCTTTCATATTCTTTATATTTACATTATATTATTATAGTTTAGACTTTAGAGATATGAAAATTCATTGAGTTATTGATAAGTGACTAGAATTTTAAAAATTATTTTTAGTTTTAAGATTTGAGATAGAAAATGAGCAATAGAAAAAAAAATCTAATACTTGGCGAACATAGAGAAAGGTAAATTTATTTTTTTAATTATTTTATTTTGAGTAAATTTAAATTGCTTTCAGTAGTGGCTCTTTTGTTTTTATGTATATGATTATCAGTTAATAAAATATAATCTAATTTTCATTGTCCAAGTATTTGTTCTTGCCTTCAAAATTTCAAGCTCCTGGGTTGGTCGTGACAAAGATAATGCATCGCCTTTAGCTTCATTTAGTGTTGATAAATTTATGATCAACCAAAATATGCTAGCTTCATCTGAATGTTATGCATCATGTGGAAATGTTTTGCTAAAGAAATTATGCATTTGTGATTTGAACAAAAAAAAAATCAACAAATAAGATGACCACATGAGTTGTACTAGCTGTATTGTTTGGATAAAAAAATATTTTAGTTCAACATCGCTATTCAATTAGCAATTGTCATTATTTTGTGATTTATTAAATTTTCAGGAGAACATGGCTTATAAAGAAAAAGCAATGATCTTGGAGGCTCTTAAGATTTTGAAGTTTAACCATAGAAGATTACATTTACAAATAAAAAAGATGAAGGGATAAGGTGCACGATTGCAATTTAAATTTCGTAAATAGAGGGGGCTGCCAAAATTGGAGAAGAAGAGTTTTATGTGAAGGGAATATAACAACAACAACAAAGCCTTAATCCCACTACGTGGGGTCGGCTACATGAATCCTTTTTCTCCATTGCGTCCTATTTAGTGTCATATTTTCATTTAGTTCTAGTAAATTAAGATCATTTTTAATACAATAAGCCCAAGTCTTCCTAGGTCTACCTCTGCCTTTCTTAACACAAGTCAAATTTAAAGCATCTACTCTCCTAATCGGATCATCTAATGGTCGACGTTTAATATGACATGATTAATGTGACCAAACCATCTAAGACGACTCTCTCTAATTTTAGCTACATGTAGCTACACCAACCCTATCCCGGATATATTCATTTCACATTTTGTCTCTAAGTATAAAGCCACTCATCCACCTAATCATCCCCATCTCAGCAACACTTAACTTAGTATTATGCTTCTCTTTTAAAGGCCAACATTCAGCGCCATAGAGCATTGTAGGTCTCACCACCCTCTTATAAAATTTTTCTTTCAGTCTAAGCGGCATTTTTCTATCACACAAAAGGCCCACAAAATTCCTCCATTTCAACCAACGAACTTGAATTCTACTATTAATATCCCCATCTATATCACCATCGCTTTGAAAAACAAACCCGAGAAAACTAATCATTCACACCTTTTAATAATTTGATCACCCAAATTTACACTTCTGTCACTAGAGCTAGTACTACTAAAATTACATTCCATTTATTCAGTTTTAGTTCTACTCAAATGAAGGCATTTAGACTCCAATGTAGACTTCCATTATTCAAGTTTTTCCTAGGCTTTTTCTCTCGTCTTATCCACGAGAAGGATATCATCAACAAAAAGCATACACCAAGGTACATCTTCCTGTAAATGTCCGCTAAGACCATCCATAACTAAAGCAAAACAATATTGGCTTAAAGCCGATCCTTGATGTAATCCAACAAAAATAGGAAAATATTTGATCAATTCTCCTTCAGTTCGAACGCAAGTAACAGCTGTAATATACATATCTTTAATGACTTGAATATAAGTCATATCAACACCTTTCTTCTCAAGAACGCTCCGAAGGACATCTCTTGGAACCTTATCGTAAGCTTTTTATAAATCAATAAAAATCAAATGTAGATCCTCCTTATTATCTCTGAAATTCTCTATCAAACCTCGCAATAAATGTATAGCTTCCATGGTAGACCTGCCCGGCATAAATCCAAATTGATTATGAGAAAATTATTCTAAAATCACTTCATCAAATCCTCCTCCCTTTTTTTCAGTCTCTTTTTATGATGAAAATCAAGGAGGTTTTCTATTTACAAGATATAGTTACCATAAGTCAAATGTTTGTTAGGATTAAGTTTTGTACTTCTATAGATTAGTTCATTTAGTTGGATTGTAGATAGATATGTATTGGAGCATAGTTTTTATGAGTAGGAGGCTTTTATGAAGAAAATATTAAGTGTTAAAATTTACTTTTTTTTCAAACTCCTCTCTCTCTCTCTCTCTCTCTCTCTCTCTCTCTCTCTGGTATGTGACCATTGATGCTTGACTCGATCCTCTACTTATCTGTCTTTTTGGCATGCCATTTAAGGTCAGAATATATGGATCAAAACTGTTAGCTCGTCGTCTTTCTCTTCTCAGAGAGATTAGAGAGATTCTATTTTTCCTTTGGAAACATGATATCCCTGCTTTTAGACATTTCTTACTAGTTTCTACGGCCTTTCATACCCTAATTTTTAGTCATTCTTTTGATATCATTCTACTCAGTCTTCTACAATTATCATTAGCTTGTATTTCACTAATTAACTTAATATATTCAATTATACTTTTGGCCTTTTTCGTTCTATTTATAGGATAGAATTCTTTTAGCAGCACCACTTTTTCTCCTGAACTTGATCGCTATGAATCCTAGATTCCCTAAACTTTAACTCGATTACGGTTCCATCTTATTCTTCTTGCTGAATATCTAGTCTTTAGGGTAGTAGAGTATCTTTAGTATAAACCTACTTACCTTGAGAACTCAATTTTTTGTAGTATGGACGCATGCAGCTAAACCCTTGGATTGCTGAATAGTTAGGCCTCCTCCTCTTTGTATTAATAGTTCATATTAAACTATTTGGTCAGGCTTTGACAGAAAGTTCATTACATGCTTTTTTATTAGCAAGGCATCTTGGACAAAGGTAATTGGCAAGTTTGCTTGAACTATCATGAATCTAATTTGTTATGTTATAAGACCATTTTATTGTAAACTGTAAGGTGTTAACCTTTTTGCTTTGCCCATATCATCCCATAAACTTTAAAATATCAGGGATAATGCTAATGTTTGGTCCATATTCTAAGAGCATTAACTCTCTTATTCTATTGTTTGTGCATACAATGAGAGAATTTCTTGGAGCATTCTAGCTGTTCATAATCGTGAGACTTTAGATAGTCTTGCCAGAAGTCAAAGCAACCTTCTATAAATGAAACATAATGCATTAAATTTCTAAAATTCATCAGACCACATATGACTGATTTATTATCACTTGCAGGATTTTCTTAAAACTATTTTTTCCCTAATGGTTTCTTGGTTTCTTTTCTGGTTAAACAGTGCTCGTATTGGCACTTTTACAGCTTTGAAATGCACCAACAGCTTTTTGTTATAGAAAAGAATAACCTTCAACTTCAATATAAAGTTTTCCTGGAACTTTAACTTATTTTATCATAAAAAACATTTACGAGAAGCTTTGGTTAATTTCTTCTCTTTCTATCTTTCTTCCTGCATGGAAGCACTTCCTCTAAGCAGCTGCTAGCTCACTGACTACTCTCCAATTTGTTTTAATTTTTTTTTTTAATTTACTAATACACTTTGGCTTTGAAAATTCTAGCCATTCTTGTCTAAGTTCTTATAAATCAAGTCATAATGTCTCAGTTGCTAGAATCCTTGCCAGGTTGCAACTCAAGTAGCAATACCTTGGTTGCAACTAACGTTGGCTGAATGTTTTTGGTATCTTAATTATTTCTATCTATAAATTAAATTTATTATTTGTATTTACAAAATCTTAGAAAGCTATTCTTTTCCGCAAATGGCAAACTGCATGGACTATGGTTACTGCCGTAATTTTTCGTTGGGTGTCTTCTATGCATAATTTCGTCATCATGTAAAACTGTCTGTTTTGTTACTGCTGGCAGTGATGTCAAGGCCTATCGTACTTGTTTTTCTTCTGGTGGTACTTATAATCACTTCACAATTTGAATGGAAGCAGCAACTAGCGAATGACGTGGAACTAAGTCCAAGTGTTTCTCAAAAGCAGAACCTTCTACTAAGCAGAGAAGAAGTTATTAAAGAAAAAGTAAGTACACAAACGTAAGGATTGACTTATTTTATTTGGGTCTTTGTTAAATTTATGCTTGTATTGTGGAATGCTGCTCGTTGAAATAAAAAAAAAGTTTTGTTTGTTTTGATGCGAACAAACAGTGACTATGTTCCCTTCTGCGTTGATATTGGTTACACCAATTTTTTTCTTTTTTGTTCATTATCCATCTGACAATATTTTAGGCTGTTTACTAGATTAATGTTCATTTCCTGCATATTTATTGTCGTGATAGTTTTAATAAATCATCCTGATTATTATTGAAAACTTTGCGTGAACTCTTATCTTGATTTAGTTCTGCTTTGCATTTTGCTCAATTTAACAATTAGTCGATCACTGAAAGTTAAGGTGTGGTCAATGGAAAAATATCTGGCAGTCAATGGCATCTTTAATGTTTGCTTTTTTTTTGTGCATCTCACACTAGATAAGGCATTAGATATACCTTTTTTCTCTGCCCCGTGAAGATCAATTTAGGGTCCTTTGATCTCTTTATGAGAACGTGGCATGACCGCTTAAATGATGCGGTGCTCGCCGTGACTACTCGTGAGCAGGGATCTCCCATAGCAGGATCGCGGGAACTCCGGTTGTTGAACCGACCGACCCAATTGAGGCTTGTCCTGGGGAATCCCGGGCCGAGTGGCCCAGGCGAAAATCCTGACGAGGTGGGGGTATCCCATGCCCCATCCTATGCCTTTTCTGCATCCCGCTCAATCAAGAGGCAGTTTAGGAAGGGCTACATTGCCGCTAATCCCTTTCCTCTCTTTCCTATTCTATGATTTCCTTATGGGAAATTTCATTTTCTGTTTGTTGTCATTTTTCCCTTTGTGGGTTGTATGCGAGGAGATAGTTGTGCTCCGATTGTATCCTACTCCAATGTGGTGATTGTATCTTCCTTTTTATCTTACCTATTCCTTCTCACTTCCCTTAGCCGCCGGCCACCCCCAATAGCTTCCCTCTACACTACCGACCCCATTTCTGCCCCTTTCGACAGCCCGCCGACTCCCCTACAGCAGCTACTTTGATGTCCCGGCCTTCCCAGGTGTTGTCCCTCCTTCCTTGCTTACTACCTCACAGCCGCCCAACAAACCTTCCCGCCACCTTAACCTGCTGCCTCCCTCCAGTTCACCTTCCAACCACTGCCGACTCCTCTCCCGCATTCACACTTGCTGTCCCAAGCCTCTGAATCCACTGGGCCAACCTCCACCGCTCTTGGGATACACTTTTGAGGTGTTGACTTGTGTCTTTGTGTTTGTTTGTCATGTATGAATAATGCATTATTATTATTGAAAAGTGTATTAACTATGAGTCTTTTGTGCAGATTTACCACTCTACATCATTTCTGCCTTTGGTTATTTTTAATGGATCTATCCTGTTTTATTATTGAAAAGTGGAGGGTTGCGTTAGGTAGTCGACAGCCAGCGTAAAACTTGTCGAAAAAAATCATGACATGAACCCTTTTGATCATTGTGTAAGTGCTAGGGCGTCCCCTGGAAGCGACGCACTGTATAGCCTGAATACAGTGAA